CTTAACCTCATATGTCCCCTTCTATGCATGTGAGTGTGTCTCTCTGTGTTTGTATGTATTTCTTTATGTCGAGCTTGGCGTTGCTCGAACCATCGGCTTGCGACGAATCAGACCGAGAGAGTGATCTCGAGTCTGTGCAACAAGACACTTTTGGTCCAACCCCTCGTCATATCTACTGGCATCATAAGGCTTACTTATCTGATTGTAGCACTATTCACTACCAATTTTACATCAACCTAAACACAAGAAACTTTTATTCCAACCCCTATGCAACCCAAATTGCTAGTCTTCATCTTTCCAAAGCGACAGTTCACCGGCCGAATGCTCTGGATCGCCTCACCGGAATGCAGTCTCCATCGGCTGCCGTCTCCCGAACCGACGCCCGAGACAACTCCAGACGAGGCTGTTGTGCCCAGTCGGACGGGACGTTGTGTTGGCACAGCGCTGACTGCGCCTCCTTCGCGGACAGCCAACGAGGCGAGAAGATGTCCAGCCTCTGGCTCGACTTCCGCTCCGGCCGGCAGAGCTGACATGGACCGGGGCGGTCCAGAGGTGGTGATCTGGCGGTGGGATGCTCTTTCCGGACTCGTCTCGAATCTGGTCATCCCACCGGCCATTTGACCTGCAGAAAGACCATCGGTCAGGGGCCCAGCTCGGCGGCCGAGACTGCGATCGAGCCAGCGATCGCCGGACAGCGAACGGAGACCAACGCGATTGAGCAGATCTTGAAGCAGAGAGGACAGGGTGCATGAGTTTCGATGGTGGAAAAGAGGAGGAGAACTAATTTTTTTTTTATTCAGCCAGAATCTGTATGGTCACTTAATTTAGGTATATTGCATCATGTGATTATTTGCATGAAAGCATAAATAATGCCTAAAATTTATTCGAAATAAAGGTTATTTTCACACTTATTTTTCAATTCAATGGGATAGTATTACACATCTCTTCTTTCACCGAGTGCCACTCGTAGCAGTCTGACGTACTACTAACATGCCGAACATATACACCACACTACCACAAATTGGGTTTGATTCCAGCTAGCAGTGCTGACGCAACATATACGAGGTCGAAATTGCAATCCAGTCCAGCCGATATGGCAATACCTTTTGGGAAGGAGGGAGAATCAAATTCAATGCCGTCGTGGGGGCAGTCAGTCCTTCGTCATTGAATACGTTCTTGAATCA